GCAGTTTTGTCGTAATGCAGGGCAATCGTAAAGCAAGGCACCACTATATCAACACATTTTGCTTTTTGTTTTGTTTTAGTTTTTGCTTCTGGTACTACAGAAAACACCGTGCTCTGTTCTTATCATTGGGCCCAGTGAGCATTAAGTGTTTGTACAAGAGAGGCCAGAAAAGCAGCAAGCTTTGGGTGAAAAAAAGAGAAAAGCCCTGTTCGGTCTGTATTGAGGCATGTGCAGAATGCATGCAGTGAGAGGGACACACGTTCACTGTATGCTCCTTTCCACTCTTGCCACTCTCATCACAGAAAGGAACTTCTGGAAGAGGGAGAGATTCCCACGTTTGCCTAAGTTGCCCACATGAAGCAGAACCCCGTTCTTGGAGATGGTTCTAGGGTTGTGGAGCAACAAGGAGAAAAAAAGGCAGAATCTTCGGAAGAAAGAGCAGACTTCTAGATGGTGGTGGGAATGGGAGAGCGTCAGTGAATGTCTTGGGGTTGGGACACAGAAGATACAGGTTCAAATCCCCACATGAGCCACAAAACTCTCTGACTAGAGACATTTTCTCAGTCTAGTCTACCTCACCAAGTTGTTGTGGGAGAAACTTGAGAGCCTTACCTTGGGCCTATTGTGGAAATACAAGACAGACATGTAAGTGGGGAATAAATTAACAATATACATGTTTTTAAAAGAGAAAGAATCATGAGGAATTATGCATCAGAAAGTTAAAAAAGAAAAGAGACAGGTTTTTAGGGATGGCAATGCTAAGAGTACCATCAAGATTTTGAAGGTAGGAGTGAGAAGAATTGGTGGATCTGAGATTAGACAGAAATGCGATTTAGGGAATTAAGCAGCAAATGAAGTGAAAATGAAAGATGTTTTTTGTATTGTAAAGGGAGAAATGATAAGACATGGCAGCTGAGTCAGTATGACGAACAGATTTTTAGCTGAATGTGCTAGCCTGTCATTGTTGGCATTCACTGTGTCATCCTTTCCAACCCCACATTCTTTGGGGACTTGAAGGGGCAGGGGATGATTCCTCCCCTCAACACAGAAATGTTAATACTCCCATTTACCCCCTCTGAGCTTTCATGGCTGAGTGGGGATTTGAACAGTGGCCTTCCATTACAGAGGTCCCCAACCCCTGGTCTGCAGCCTGGTGTCGGTCTGTGGCCTGAGCAGGACTGGGCCGCAGAGACAGACCTCCCGCCCCAATCCCCCACACACAGTTGATTCGCCCATGCGAGCACCGCGCCACTGTTTGCGCATGCGCTCATTCTCATTTGCGCATGAGCACGGGGGTGCCCTGCCTTCCCCAGCCGGTCCACGGGGTAAAAAAGGTTGTGGAACCAAACAACAGAAGCTGCGGTAACAAAATGTTGTGGCGTTACTGAAATGAAATCTTTTGGAAGCAACCTCTGTCTTTTGCTGCCTTGACCCTTTCCTTGGAAGGCCCCCTTGCAACCAGAGGAACGCTCAGATTCTTTCCATGTGTGAGCGGACCTGGAATGAGGTTTGACCTCAGATTTGGAGACTGGGGAATGTGGTCAGCTCTTAGGGCGGAGGTTGTGTGTTTTGTTTTGGGCTGGGAAGGAGCCGGCAAGGAAGTGGACGTGGCTGACAGAGGTTAACTGGTTCATGTTACCTTTGCAAGTGTGTTGAAGGCCCCATGAACACAACAACAACAACAATTTCCTTTTTTTTCCCCTCCCTGCACGCAGGTTGTGGATATCATGCGAGTGAATGTGGACAAGGTGCTGGAGAGGGATCAGAAACTGTCGGAGCTGGATGACCGCGCCGACGCCCTGCAGGCCGGAGCCTCCCAGTTTGAAACCAGTGCAGCCAAACTGAAGCGCAAATACTGGTGGAAGAACCTAAAGGTAACATAGAATCATGGAGTTGGAAAGGGGGCCTGCCTATAATGCCAACCAGCACAACCCCCTGCGCTCAAGGCAGGAATTCAAATCAAAGCAGAT